TCACTCATTCCCTGACATACGGGCTTGAATTTTTTGCTTGAAGCCGATTTTCAGCTTAGTTTTTTTTGCAGTACTGCTTGCGTAGAACATGATCCGACTGGAAAAGCGTTGCTCTAATAGATGACTTCATTTAGTTTGCAGCTGGCATGGGAGCCAGGAATGAAGTGTAAATTATGAAAAATAGTGTTTCAATAATTAGCGCTTCTCCTCAAAACCACACCCAAAACAAGTCGGGGGGGGGATGAAAAAGGAGCAGGAACCCTTACTCGAAAATATGCTTCTATTCTGGCAGAAAAGCAGTTTTTGCATTTAATTCTGATAATTTCTAATCGTCTAGGCCAACTGCAAAAAAAAAGTAAGAAACCGTCCCTGATTGGCATCGAGCAGTCTCCCTCTGAACTGCGAATCGCTACCATGGGTAGTTGTCCAACTTGGCCTTGGACCAAGCGCACTTTGATTGTCAGTTAGGGCTTCACCAGTAGCTAACATCCGTCCGTCCGGCGCAATCGGTTCTATTATTTCAGATTGTCGTCTAGTGGCTGAGAATTCCGCCACAAGATTCTGTCCCACGCTCTGATTTGACTTCGCTGAATGAGACCAGTTAGCTATTATGAGCAAGAGATTGCGAGGGTCGCATTTCCCACGATGTAGTGTGTGGACTGATGGAGCGGCAGGAGCAGTAGCCTGGAAAAGGACGAGGAAGAGGAGAAGAAGACGGCGGCGGCGAGAAGAAGCACTTTGCTGCGTGGGACTCAAGAGGGATTAGCCTTCGGCAAACAAATGTTAAACGCCATGGATTTGTCATGTCATGTCGGGTGATAACAAAACGAGTCACCTCGTCGTTAATGCCTTGACGTCGCCAATCCCGATGCCAGGACGATTCCTTTATGTGAACTGAAGCACACGTTCCTGCTCAAAAATGAGCGGAGATTACGGTAGTGCACAAAAGGGAGTTAACTGGATAATGAGTAAGGCATACGGTGTAGATAGGCGCACTGTGACTAGCCCACATTTCAGTTCCATCAGGATCCTAATGAATTTCAGTGCGGTCTGCCCTATAATAATGTAAGAGCCAGCCGATGTATGTACACAACAGTGCCTTTTCTCCAAGAAAGTCAAGCCCAGCCAACCAACTCTGTAGGGATGAAAGGCTCGATTTGCTAGGCTAGGTGAGTTGATCTGTGATTTGATCCCTGGACCGAGCGTGCGAAAAGCGGCGCCTTCTAGCTCTGTTCCAACAGAGAAAATGGACCTGGAGAATTACTGAAGGTAGGGGGAGGGATCCTGGTATGGAATGAAACTTAACTGCTCACATTGAAATAATCATTTTTTATTTATTTATTTATTTATTTATTTATTTATTAGACGACACATAAGGCAGTCGTAGGAAACAATACAACGATCTTCCCTTGAATATAACCTAGTCATAGCTCAACAAATCTTTACTAGCCAGGCGCTTGAAAAGCACAACAGAGGGAGTAACGAGAGCCACATTAGATTTAAAGAAGTTCATCGTCTCCCATTCATCAAAGATGGGATACTTTTTAGTCCCATCAAAAAAACCGATGCCAACCATCTTAGTTTTTCTAAATACGCTTTCCTTCATGAATTCCAGAGTTTCCGCTTTTCTTGAAATAAAAAACTTTCAAGGAAGTACAGTCTAAGTCCTGCCATTAGAATATATTCTGACGTGGTATGCAAGAATCAATCATATGAAGGCATACTTGAAATGCCCTGAATGTATTCAATAAAATGGGCAGCAAAGTATTTTTTTCCAGTCCGAATTGAATCATCGCAACGAAATCTCAACCGAATACCCTCCAAACCCTGTTATTAGAGTGTAATCCGCGCTTAGTATTAATTATAGAAAGGTTGACTTTTCCAACCAATTAAATCTTGCCTACAAACGTGACGGTTGATAAAATTATACCAATTCTACTTACTGGCTCGCAAGCCTTCGTACTGAAAGCTACGAAACCAGAAATTTCATTGCAGTATTTTTTAATAGTGCGCAAATTTTTTGACGCATCGGTTTTGTTTACTGCACCAGCACTTTGCAAGGAGAAGGTCATGTCTCTTCCCATGATATTTTCGATTGAAGGAAACTTAAAGGCACGATTTAGGATCAAATTGGTGTGTTGTTTAGTTTGGAGATCAGGCAAGAAGTGCAATGAGGGACAATAGTGGGGAGAAAAAGCAAAAAGCACCATAGCAAACACTAAAATTCCCTTATGAGGCTGTCGGTGTGGAGGATAGAACAGGACAGTTAGCAGACACACACGCTGGGGCGAGGAGAGGGGAAGTACACGAGAAGTGCGGCCGGCGAGAGAACGTCGAAACACCACGGTATGGCCGCCGGATTTGACAAACGTGGGCAGGCACGGCAAGCGCTCAAAGCAAGGCCGTTAGCCTGGTCTTTTCTCCGACTTTTAAGTCGCCCCAATAGAATTCGGAATTCCACTCTCTTATTTTGAAAGGTCGTGATCTTATCCATTCCCATCTTGAAGTTACTAGAAACGCCTGGATCTTCAAAAGCGTTGCGCTTTTCGAATTTCCGATTCAGTACACCAAATAGCAAGCAACGTTCTCTAAGGAGTGGCTTTAGGCACTTTAGAATTAAAAAATCAAATTTTCTTAAGTTCAAGAATATGGAAAAACTGATAGAATCCCGAGCATATCGAGGCATAGTCTGTACGCTAGCGTCCATAATTTCCATGAAGAAAATGAAGCAGCAAGCCAAGGGTTAGATAATAAAAAGACGAACAGGACGCGGATCGCGTCTTCCGCGGCATTTTTAACAAAGTTATTATTATTTATTAGCTAAGTTAACAAAGTGCTGTATTGCTTTTGAAATCTAAAGCTGATATGAATTGGCTAGTGCCTGTTATTCTTTCACATAGAGAAACAGATTGCTTATCTCAATTCGTAGTTATTCTTAAATGCTGAAATTGACTGAAAGTTGTCATAAGAGGTTTAGTAGTGCAGAGGCTGCCTTAGCTGGAAACTACAAGCCAGGGCTCGTGCTTTCTGTGCAGCAATGCTAATCATTATCCCACCTAATCTGCGTAACACCTAAATTCAATTTTAAATGGTAATCAATATGGGCTGATCGAGGTGATTTCCTCTTTTCTTTCAGTCCTATACATCGTACGTGGATTTTTTCGGCGTCGTTGATGTAGCGAATTCTTCCGTACAATTTCGTGTGTCGTCATTTAATGGCAGTGGCCTAATGGGACGTTTGATGAGCTCGGAATGGTATACGGAAGAACAGCTGGCTGGAGGCAACCACATCAAAATGGTTGTTGCTGATGAGGTTAACTAAAGCTGCATCCACAAGTTTAAGGGTGGCCAGCATGCCGTAGATCGTTTAGATATGGAAGGACGAATTGGCAGCTGTTCGTGTCGCCTTCAAGTCATCTCAGATGTCCTCGTGCTCGCTTGTGCTCACCTATAATTCACATATGGGTGTTGAACAACGAATGGAATTTGTCATGGTTAGCGGAATATTCGGAAATTCAGTCTTAGTAAGAAGAGAAGAAATGAAAAAAGAAGGCTTATACATGCTCCAGGCAGCTCTGACTAGTAACAGAACTTTTTAAAGAAAAATATATTGTTGTATTGGGTAGTCATCCTCTAATTGAATACTTTTCATTTTGTCCCAACGCGGTCCAATTTATTGTTCAACCTAGAGGGCAATCGCTGCCGTTGTTTTCAAGAACCTCCAGAAGGGTAAACTGAATAATCGAAGGCGTTTAGCTATTCTGTCAGTTTTCAAACATAAGGCGACAAATGCGCTTTTTTGTGGGGCAAGGATTCCGCTTCAGCCTTCTACGCTTTGGAATCTTTTAAACATAAGTGCTCATTTCAAAACAGCATTGCTGCGCCCTTTTGTGTAATCAACACTTGTAATTGGTGGCCTGTTAGTGATCACCAATCATGGGCGACCACCTTGTCCTGGAATGCATCGTAGATGTGCACAGCATTTTAGTGCTTCTGGGGAGATTCGGAGTAACATATTCCTTTTTAGGATCGCTCTCGCGGTTTTCTGCTCGATCGGTTGGCGTTTGACCATCCGTACACGTTGCGCTTATGGCGTATCGGTGCCGTAACAACGGCATACACTTCGCATGAATTTCGCACTCCACAATGCTTGAAGCTGGTGAATGATCCAGCACTATGTGGTGAGTTTAGGCCCTTCAATATAAGCCTCCGCACGAATGTGAATTAAGCCACCATTTACGTAACGCTAACATGATACGTAGTAATGATAGATGCTCCCGAAATTTAGCTTCAATGACCGCTGAATGATTTTTCTAAGTCCGAAAATTCACCAGGGAGAGTGGAGTTGATTTTGAATGACATAGCCTCTTCCGAATTCCTTTTGCGAGATCTGTCGCTTTAGGGCTGCAATTTCCTGCTGGATGCGTTAACGTCTCGAAATCATTCTCGTTTCTGTGAGATTGTATAGTCACTAGAAGGAGGATGACTTTAGTAGCGGCATAATGCTTTCGGTGGGTTCTGCAGCCATGATTTCCGTTCGTCGACTACGTACTTTGCCACCCAGGCTCTACTGAGTGAATGAATTAGTGGCTACGGTACGATGCACAAGCGTAAGTCCCGAGGTATGCTTAGCTCTTGGAGCATGTAAGAAAACTATGAAAGAATAATCTTTAACGAATCAGCTCACAGCGTGTAGAGCCAGTCATTATAGGAATCTTCCACGGAAAGACTGCTTATCCTTTCCTGTGTGTTGGGCATGGTCATTGAAGACCATATGCAAAGTTCAGAGCGAAAATGATGAAACCCCCAAGAGAAACAGCCCTTGGAAAGACCCATCTGTGGGACCGGATTGGACCAGTAGGCGGGACCGGAAGTGCTTCTGTGACGAAGTGCGTGGCAGGTGCGGATCCACGTGTCAGTTTATGGGAAGGGCCCAACATGAATCCTCACGTTCACGCTTTTGACACGTTTGCACGTGTTGACTCCACGCCGCTAACAGTTGTGGAAGTTTTACAGCGGGAATTCAAAATTTTCATAGTCGAACTGGTTATCATAATTATTATCAAAACCATCGCCTATGTTCCGTTCTTTTTGCTATCTTCATGAAGCAAGGGGCCTAAGGTATCTTTTTTTTGTAGGAATGGAGGCGATGTTTTTCCGTGGAAGATTCCTTTAAATGATACACGGTATACCAGAGGTAATGTTCCTTGCACACTTCCAAAATGCTGACGACGAACTTTACAACGACTATACGTGACACCCAACAACCTTCATTCTCGCATCGAAGATTCCAGTTCTTTTACTCATTTAGAAAATAGCTTTTATCACTTTTGCCAACTTTGAGTAACGAGATACAGTGAACAAATTGAAGGCTGACTTCCACTTGTTCACTGTATCTCGTTACACAAAGTTGCTGCTCCAGATTGCTGAGCAGACTGTAGCCGCTGAGGTCTAGATCACTATTGCAGGCCAGGTGGGTGCATGACATCGACATTCCCAAATGGTGGTCATTGAAATTCAAAACCTCCTAACTAGAACCTTGACATGTAGGAGGTGGTACTTTTTGCAATTTCCTGCCCCAGAGTGGCGCAGCATAGTAATTTCGCGTATCATTGGCCCTTTGTCTGGTTTTGCTAGAAGTCGATTACCCACAGGTTACATCTGCATCAAAGCAGGTGCTCGCTAACCTTCTCATCTTTGGTAATGGCCTGTTTCAGAAAGCTAGATAGACCGAAGGCTTCGTTATTGAGGCTTAGGACTGTGGTGCTACACCAGCTTGCGACCACAGTACTAATCTTTGCATGAATTTCTTTCGTTCATTCTCGAGAAGCTGGAACCTCTCCTTTGAAAATGCAGTCCGGCTTTCTTCTTTAGTGGCGAAAACTGTTTGGAGAACCAATGCTCTACCGCCATGTTTGGGCTCCAGTTGTCATGCGCAATGAAATCCAGAGTGCCTTATGAAAGCACAAATTCTGCTGTATTCTATGCACTCGAAATGTTCTTGTCCCGCATAACAAATATCTGTATAGCTATGTTTAAGTTTTTCTTCCGAGGTTCACATTCGCGGCCTCATTCCTATGTACTTTCTTCCCCACCGAAGCTCCGCGACCCACAACCTCACTTGATGGTAGGGGAGCGATCTCCTACTTCTAACATACAACGACCATTCATAAACTTCCCTTTCTACGATTCCTCTGTGAAACGAGAATTCAACGAGTTGCTTATGTCATAGTTCCCACCTGTTCAAGTGGTTGCTTTAATAGTACTTTAATAGCGGAACAAATCTCCATGAAACTTTGCAAGCAACCATGAAAGACTTTGATCTCAACAGACATACCAACAACTTTAGAGATACGACCAGCCACATGCGAGTGATAATATAGTACTATTGGGAAACCATGTACACGCTGCCGCGCTGTAAAGACCGTTTATTTATTTTGTTTATTAATTTCTGGCCCGTTTGTGTTCAAAAATTGTCTCTGAATGAACTTGGAAACAACGTATGTTAACATTGATGAACTTTTCAATAGGACAATGGTGATTAGTGAAAATTAAATCAATCACTGAAGCAGATTCACGGAAAACAGCAGTTCGCGGTATGCCAAATGCTTATGCCCTTGCGAGACCGTTCTTGAGGAAAGGCTTCGCATTTAAATTTCAGAGCTGCACTACTTCAATGCTGCCTTTGTTTGTCATATTGCGTGTTCCGCGAAGGAGATATAAGTGAATGGGGGCATTCTTCGAAAGTTTTTCTCGTTTCGCTGCCGCGTTGAGAGTTCCAGCAGCATTTCGGGTATTCGTTTATCAGCAGTTCGATCTTGTCCCTTCTCACTTAACTCACATCCATCAGTCAGTGCTGGCTGGCTTGACTACGGTGTCTAATAGCTGTTTGAGAGTGAGTTGTGTGTTCCAAATGCCTCGTAAAATAAATGAACGGGGACACGAAGCCTCAAAGCGTATGTCATTTGAGTCATCTCACAGTGAAAGATTTCGTAACGGATTATTCTCTCATCCACCTCAAAAGGGACGGGATATGAGCACGTGAATGACAAAGGGTATCGTTGTGTATCAGTCGTATACGCGAATTCTTCGCAAAGATGGTGTAGTTGCAAAGCAGCTGATTACTACGACCACGACCCAGCGGTCAAGCCCGTGATCGGATTCCGCGCAGCCCATTCAATTTTTTTCGCAGAACCAGCCTCGAATTATTACTACCGCTTTGTCTACGAGTATCAAGGCATCGGCTTGCTCTGCAATTTCATAGTACACAGCAAATTCACATGCCATTGATACCCTGAACAGGAGTTGAATGCGTGACAACAGATCCGAAAGAAGGTCTTGATTAACGCTCGATGTTTTTTCCTTCAATGTGTCAATTTCAGCACCACCGCCAGTGAGTGAGATATCGTGGATATGGAATTCCAGTGAAAATGAGGGCAATC